AATATAAAGTAGATAGCTGTAATCCTTAGATTATAACCTTCATGAAAAAAATGGTTTTATGGTGGGTTACCATTTAAACAAATAAAAAAAATTGTGGGAACCAAGAACAAAAGAAAATTTCGAAAAATTTTATTCATGATAAAACATCACATTTTTCTAGTACTGCATCTTTCATCAATTAGTTTTTCCAAAAAAATAAATAGGTTAAGCAAAAAATGTTTGGTTCCATACTTTTTATTCACCTGGTATGTATAATATTATCCCTTTACTTTACTCAAAAAATGCCTAAAACATTGGAAAAACTTTTATACTTTTGGCACTTTGAATGGTATAATGTGACTGATTCGCAAACATCTTTTTTTTTCCCATTTTTTTTTGCTGTCAATGTTTCTATTATTTCTAATAAATATTAATTTACCTTTATTAAAAAATATACATCTTTTTAAAACGATATATGCTAAAAAGACGCATTATGAAGAAATTTTAGAAAATCAATCAAATGAGAAATCTAATTTAGTTTGTAGGTTTTGTAACACATTTTGCACAACACTGCCAAGTAGTAGCCTATACAGTGTGTCCCCGGACAGGTGAAACGACTCTTGCAAAAATAAAAAATTCTGGTTAAAGAGGTTGTAGCTACCGCATTTCCAATTACAATTTCAGACTAATATTACAAATGATGGATTAATGCCGAGAATAAAATTTTTAACGATTATTTTCTGAAAGGAGACCTCCAACTAACTAAAAATTTGATTTTCTTGTTTATTTTAAACTCTTGAAACAAAGTACGAATTGTAAATTAATCCTGTTCAAATACTCGTATTTTTTGTTGCTTAAAACCAGTATATCTYGCGCCATCTGACCGCCACTTACAATGTCGACATAAAAATAAACCCATCATCGCTGCAGTTATAACGATTTRAACCAGAAAATAGAAAAAACAAAACATTTTACGACTAAATAAGTCTTTACGTGATAATATTTTTTAAATACATTTTTAATAAATAGGTAGAGAACTTTAAGTCYAGAAGTGCGACACCTCTAGATTTCCTCCAATGAAATATTGCCTCTAGAAAGTCGTTCCAAAAGTGATTTACAGAGTTCCACCTTTGAGTAGAATAAATCTGCACTTTTACGCCATAACTAACCAAATTTTTCCAATTAAATAATTGCCTGAAACCCCCATTAATTACATCAAACAAGAAAATAAATCTTTCTCGGAAAATTAACTCCAACTTATCTTCGAAGTTAATCCAATATTTACAGCCTCTCATAATTTCAACATTACTTTATCCTTCTTTAGTGTTCATTCAGATAATAAAAAAGASACACATGTAACAGATAATACTTATTTATTACTATATTACAGAAAAAAACATAATTAAGATTTTTGTATAATACAAGTGTATATAATAAGTACATGTGCCATAATATTAGAGCTGCGTGCTCTCATATTAAAAAAAGTAATAAATACAAACAGTAAATAGCATCGCTATAACATTTACAAAAACATAAAGTAAAAAGTCGTTATCACCTATAATTCTAATAATACAGTTTTATCATTATTAATTCGATCCTATTCCCGATGCTGCACTTTATTATAGTTATATTATACTAGAAAATTAAATAAAAATCAACAATAAGTTAATTTTTGCGCTTAGTAACAAAAATCCAACTTGGATTAATTGAACGGTCAAAGAGTCGTGTCAAAATTATGGGTGGACGGCAATCTAGCTCCAAAACTCACCAATTGTTAAATTAATAGTGATAATGGAATGTATTGTATCTACTTTTCTCAGCCTTGTTAATGATAACTCTTTATTAGTCTAACTGTAACTATGGAAAGACTATATCTTAAGTACAGACAATTTTGTGCATTTTAGCATTGGCAGGTGAGTTACAATTTGAAATTTTCTAACGTCCCTAATGAAATAAATAAAAACTGAGCATAAACTTCGTTCCCCGGGTCTTTACAAATCTTCTCAACATTATTTACAAGATTGCACAGTCAGTCCTGGCAACATTAAACAACAAATACAACCTCAACAACTTATTGGAATGAATCACAAGTTAACCCAACAACAAAAGGGCAACTAGAGTTGAATTTGAAACGGTTGCGGAGTGGCTGAGGACAGGAAAGGGTTAGTTGGATTGCTTTTAGCAGCAATGTCGGCCCACTCTGCATCAAACGGATCGGCAGTCCTCTGGAACGCCCCCGAGGAGTCCAGAGACATGGCCCGAGAGTGCGCCCCAATCAAGGGAGCCCTTCGAGGCGAGATCCCGTCCATTTTTCCAGGAATCGGGGACGTGGAATTGACAATTTGACCCAACCACTGGTCCGGCTTCGGCAAGCTGCTGGCGTTTGAAGTAATACTGGTGGTGACCTGACTCTGACTCAAATTGGGGCTAAAACTGGTTGAAGTMATCGACTGATTGAACGTATTGTTGATCGTTGTGACATTCAAATTGACTGTGTTTTGATTAATCGAGGTTTGGTTGTTGAAATTGAAGTCATCGGACCCGCTGTGGGTCAACTGACTCAACCCTTGACTCAGCTGCTGACAGAGAGCTGTGACAGAGTCCCCAGGAGATATCTCCGGGATCGGTGAGACCTGGGGCTTGGGATTCGTCGGCGAAGTCGGCGATTTATACGCATTTAACCTCGCAGTATTACTCGGGAGTTCGTTGACTCGCAGCGACATCTGGCGCTTGAAGGGCGAGTTCTGCCCCAGAGTGCTGAAGCCGCGACAGCTGCCCTGTCGTTGAAGCATACTGGGCGTGGCGTGGGGCCGCTCGATGGCGAAGGGGTTCACCGGGGTCTGCTTTGGAGGGCCACCCACGTCGATGCCGCGCTCCAGACGCTCGGTGAGCCCCTGCTGCCGGAAGGAGCCGCTTCGCGTGAATGTGGAGTTCTTAGTGTCGAACATCATGGTCACGCCGCACTCCTTGTCACGCTTTTGCTTGCGTTCGAGGCAGACGGCGAAGGCGCAGCCGACGGCGTGAGAGAGGCGTTCGCCCGATTCGCGTAGGGCGAGGAAACCGTGGCACATCCAACGCCGGGTGGTGCCATCGCGGCAGATGTAGCTGAAGCCGCGCTCGTGGTTGCGGTCGGGGGCGCAAAAGGAGACTTTCTCGATGGTCTGGTCGACGATCAGACCTTTGGACTCGTCCTCGACGACGCGGAGGCCGTCGCCGCTCACGTGGAGGATGGCGCGGACGGGACGACGACGAGAACCCTAAAAAAAGTTCACTTTTGAGTATTTGATGAATTATTATTTGTTGACAAAAATAAACAGTTGGAGAGACTTAAAATCATTCAGAAATACTCGTACCAGCTTAAAAGATTCTCTAAACTAAAAAAATAATAAACAAAATTTTCTGTAATTTGAAAAAATGTCGACATATTTCAAAATGTCGATTTACAAAGCTTAGCTCTGTAAAAGTATTCACCAATATCAGTTTAAAATTACTCTAGATTTACAACACAACATGATTAAGATAAACTACAAAATTTGCTTTTTTTTGGTTTATTGTAAAAATAGAAACAAAAACTGCACAAAACTGGTAGTACTTTTACAAAATATTTTGCAAAAATGAACCACAACCACAACATCCGTAAAAGAAAACAAAAATACTCTTGAATCTTAAAAAAAAAATTATCAGTATCACATGAATGCAAAATCTTACAAACAATGCTCGAGAAATATATAAAAATATTCAAGAAGAAACAAACTGTATGATTCAGAAAGAAGACTACTAATAAGTAATAAGTCTTCGGTTCGGATTCTTAGCATTCGTTAGCTAAGCCGTTATTTTAATAAGCAACCTAAAATTTCTTGTGGATATAGGCAAATTAAGGTTTTCTGTTTTAGATAAACCAATTTTTTATGCTTATTTGCTAATTTGGCGTTTTTATGCTAAGAAGCATTTTTTGTGCCATTTTTATACTAATTTTGATCATTTTCAGTTTTTGAAGTATTTTTACCTCTATTACTAATAGTTACAAATAATTTATAATTGAGGCGTCTAGTAGCAAAACCGGTTAAATCCAAAAATGACAAAATTTGAGCTTAGATTTCTTATTTTTAGCTTTCATTTGCGCATCGACCTACAAGACAGTTAAAAAAAAGTTTTCAAAAATTAAAAACTGAAACTTAATTTTTTAAAGCCAGTTATGCTTAGGAGAAGTAACTCAATAAAAATAAAAACTAGAAAAGTGGGGTCTGACTTTAGTTGAAAAACGGTATTTCAAATAAAATATTAAGTGGAAAGCAAGTTTATACAAAAACATTGCAAAAAATTTTATCAAAAATGAGGGTTAGAAAAAATTAAAAAAGATTTAAAAATTAATATTTTCGATTTGTTTTACACTTTTTTTTATTAGAAAATAAACTTTGTTTTGAATGTTTTACACAAGTATTTTTGAAAAAAAATATGAGTATATTTTTAGGCATTTTCATATTTTTTTGTTTTTATGCATCTTTTGCTTAAATATAAAGCTTATTTTAGCGCTTATTTTCGTCCTTTTTGTGTTAAAAAATACGAACTCTACTTATTAGGGTACAGAGAGATTATGAAAAAACGTATAGAAAAGAAGAGAGGAGAGAGAAAAGAGAAAAAGAAGCGAATGAAGAGAGAGAAGAAAAAGAGCACAAGAAAAACGAGAAAAAAGAATTCAGAAAAGAAACAAAAAGAGAGAACATACAGTGCGATCAAAAAGTCTGTCTATCAAGCAAGCGTAGAAATTTAAAACGTATATCTATGGAAGATAAAATGTCACTATGACAAATGAGAAATGTCAAAATATTTTTTATGTAAATTATGATAGGAAACCGTGGTGAACGAATTTTATAAATAAACACCAACAAAATCTTATTTTAGTTTGTTTTGAGACGTTTTATAGAATAATTCAATTTAATTAGCTCAATATTTTAATTTTTATAAAATAATTTTTTGACATCTAGATAACATACGAACTGCCATGCAATATACGTCCTCAACCAGGACGCCTACTTGATAGAAAGATTTTTTGATCGCACTATAGAAGTAATTGTGTATTTTGGGGAAGTAGGTAGAATTCTAATGTAAAAAATTGCGATTTTGTTTTCAAGTGACTATAATTGTCAACAGGATTGTAGTTTCAGAAAAAAACTTAAAACGCAAAAGTATAAAACTTAAAAAATAATACGGAAAACTTTATTTCAAAATTATAAAATAAATTGTTTAAAGATTCTTCCTTGTCATTCGTAATTACGAAAATAGTCAGTTTACAGGATTACAGCCTTGTTGGCTGAGATCGATTTTGTGTCAACTTACTCGTAGCACTTTGAGGGCCTCTTCGCACACTTGCATTCCCCTCGATTCGAAAACTTCAACACAGCCTAAATATTTCACAGCGAAAGTGCAAGTTCCGGACCTAACAGCTGACTCATCCGCTTGCCATTGATGAGGTTTCGAACTTTCAGGGACACGATCCTTTCGTCTACGAAAGGAATCCCTGAAGGACCTCCTTAACCTATCCATTTTCCGAGGAGAACGTAGACTTCGCCTCTGAAATAAAAATATCGATCACATAAATATTTCGCATAAAGAGGCTGGAAAAATTTATTACACATGCATGTTACATAAGCTGAAAAAACAGGATGGCTAATTTCGTTTGCAAATATTATATGAGCAAACAAATACGGACGCAGCTAAAATCTTATTTTAGCGCAACACCTGATTTTTGATTTAGATAAATTGTTATATAATCGCTTGCACATTTTTACGCCAGAGAAAATTTTTTCTCACTAATACCGCAATAATGGAAAATGTAACCAAATAAAGCAGCAACTGCCGTTACACTACGATAAATCGAGACAAGTTGGCAAAAAAGACATCAATAACCAAATACCGGAAGTGAGTGACATCTGGATACCGAATGAATGATTGCGGAAGAAAACAGAATACAAAATAAAATATTTTAAAATTGATAAACCATAAAACGAGTTCAAATTAAGTTAAAAATTCTTTACCACCCTTTCTATATCACTTCTAAACCCGTCTTAGTTCCTAAACCTCTTCCAAATGTCATCGGTTGATCCAACATTTAATCAAAATCCTATTGATATTAAAACCATTCAATCACATTATTACAGTTATTCCATTGATAAATGAAAATATCAATTATTTCAGATCTTTTTCCACAAAATTCAATTATTGTAATTAAAACCTAAATGTATTAATTCTAAAATTTACATGTGAAAATTTTGTTTAGTTTGCATGTGATAATTCAAACTGAAAATCATTAGCCAGATGCGATTGCCACATATGGCTGATAAATTATCGCTGATAAAACAAATAGTTATTGAGACAAAATGATAGCAAACTGTTTGTGATTCTAATGCGAAAAATATTAAAAGTGAGCTGCTTGCGTATGCAAAAAAATTGCAAACACAAGCTAGATTCGACATCTGTTTTGCAATTCCGCGTAATATAAAAATCTATTTTGATTTATTTTTCTCTTATAAAGTAAGAATTTTAAAATCAATTCTGATTAATCATTTAACGAGAAATGCCAATTACGTTTTGCGTCAGATTCAATCGAAATAAGTTGCTCGAATTACCGGTTCAACCACGTGGTGTTACTCTCAATAAAAATTCTCTTTAATTATTCTGAAAAAAGCACAGTTCTTTACAAGGTTGTGACGTCACGACCCGTTAGAATTAATATGCACAATACCAAAGACAAGAAATCAAAGTATGCAAGTCCTTGGGCGTGTAGAAGTGGAAATACTTGCTAAGAAAATGAAACTAATTGTATCAAGTTTGAAATTTGCTTACAAAGGGGTTGGTTTGGTAGTTATGTCTTACTTTTGATTAATTCAAGMTTAAAAACCGGTTAAGTTAATTAAATGCATGGACGATTTTGTACAATTGTTACGACAAGGTCTCCGGTTCTTGTTTTCACAATTCTTGTAATAATTCAAGTCAACGACTTTTTAAATTTAGTTGCATCCGAATTTTGATATTAAATCATTGGAAAATGAGATCATTTTTATGGAATTTTGTGAATCATCAAGCAACAAAAGCACTGAATATGCAAGAAGTCGATTTTTGATGTCATGTTTCGTCCAGTGATTCATTTAAGGAAATTAGAGAAAAATTGTAGAGTGATTATTCACTTTACAGATAAAAGCCAATAAGTGATAATTTTCTAAATACTCACACGCAACAACACCACGTACACATTTAATTAGTAGTATTAATTAATGTAAAAATACACGTGACAAGTAGAAAAGCTTGTTTATAGCACTGTAAGACTTCGACAATAAAGTATAAAACAATTTTAATCCACAATTACTTAATTATTCATAAAATGACGTTGAAAGAATTAAATTAACGGACTTTGCATCTTGACGAAATAATTATCGTAAATTTAAATAAATTGAAAAGTTGGTTAAAACAATTCGAACTGACAAACCGGAAGTAACGAAATTATTAAAGCACATTCGAATCAATTCAATTTCGTTTTGCGTAAGCGATTTGAAGAAACGTGACCGATGTGAAAGAATTTAATGGGTAGAAATTTTTACACAAGTGAATTCGAACATTCATTTGAYTCCCAAAATGACTCATTAAGCACTCAGTTAAGTCACCAAGACGATTGTTCAAAAGTTGATAGCAGTGACAYTGACCAGAAATGACAAAAAAAAATCTCCAATTTAAATATAATTGTTTTCACTATTATCTGCTACTTCATGCATCAGTTTTCAATATTTGAACAGAAACTCCACAAACTACAAGCAAAAGTAAGCGTCAATAATTGCAGCTAATGCTAAATCACCATTTACATCAAAAGTATATTTAAAAAATGCTTAGTTTTTTTCCAAAATCGGAAGACCGTCATATTTAACTTATATTAATTACGCTATGATTCAGATCTGTAAAAAATTGTTGTCTTTGTGGAACTGTCTACAAATAGATAATAATAACTACATATTTCAGTACAATCTATTGTTTCTTTCAAATTGTTTGATCATTTTCTCAGTATTACTGCAGCCGGAAGTACAAAATTCATTAAATAAAATTCGATATAGAATTATTCAATAAGAAAGATTGCTCTTAAACGTGTCCATATTGTATTAACTGAATCATCCTGTATAAGTTTATATAAGAAATATTCCTGCATAATTTATGTAATATCACTGAAATGCGATTTGCTATAAATAAATAGATTCAAATACTTATCGCAAATTGATTCTTAAAGTAGAATGTAGAAGTAGACTGCTAACCACCTCAATTGATTCATGTTGTACATGGGAAAAAATTTTGGCCAAAAAATTGTCAAAGGTGTACGAAGATTTAAGTCCTACCTAATGTTAAAAGTACTAATAAAAAAGTAAAGAAATGTTGTGTATTTTAAAAACATTTCTACTAAATAACTGTGTGATATTTAACTTGACAATTTTGTGCAAAATATGTAAAAAATACAACACACTATATTAGTTTTTTCAGTTAAATTCTAAGTACCATTTCATTTTATTACAATACGACTTTTTAAAATCCAATGTTTTAAGAAAATAAGTACAAGTGAGTTTTAACTTATACATACGCAAAAACTTAGAAAATAAAAAAATATAATTAATAATAAGTAAAAGAATTAAAAATATGTAAAACAAAACTTTTTTTTAATTTTCGTCAAATGTCAATAAAAAATACCACTTAACATCATCTAAATAAAGAAAATCGATACACTTAGCTATTGACAGGCGTGGCGTGAATAAATGTAATATCGGCATTGGTGTCATCAGTACAAATTATCTAAAATTTTGAAGTCTAATAATGTTTATAACACGGTATATCTCGGTAACTAAGAAACTTTTATTACATTTTTTTTCACTATTAGTCTTTATTATTTGTCATAACCTATCATACCCTAAAATTATGCCTATAAGTTAAGTATGTATTCTATTTTACGAGAAATTAATATTATTATTTACTCGTTTTAATTGAAAACAATACTCCAAAAAAACGACAATCCAGAGAACCAATTGCAATAATTAGTTTGAATTATATTAAGGTGTTAGTATAATAACTAATTTTTTCATCCTAGTGTTATCTAATATAATTTTTAATTCTATGATATTAATGCAAGGTCTCAGCCTCTAAATTTTCAGCTATGACGTCAATCAATATCAATACCACAATGTTATCAGAAGATGTTTTACCATGTTTAGCATTATTTTAAAATTTTAGAAAAAAATGTCTATCTTTCATTTAAAAAAGTATGGTAGTTATATTCTCAAATGACTTTCATTTTTTCCAAAACAAAATTTAAGTTTTATGCAAATTGGTACACTTTTGTATACTAATGACATCAAGTGTTCGTCGCTAATTAAATTTATTCAACATCTCTGACCTTTCCTCTATAAAAAAATGCTTTGTGTCTTAATTACTGTAAACTAATAGCTTCGATAAATCTGCTTAAGCCGTAATTTAATTCGATGACAGTGCCAATTTCGTAATTAAAAAGCATGTCATAATTAATGGAACCAATTCAGAGCATCAAATTTCAGGAAAAAAGACTGTGAAATAGCAATAAAAAAGTGATTAAAAGACTGAGGGGGGTAAAACACCCCTCATTATTGATTTTATAAATTSTACCACTGCTTTTGTACTTATTCTCGCGGTTGAATAGCCAATCAATAGTCTCAAAATTCAAAAGAAAACATAAAAAAAATGATGTTTTTCCGCCCAAAAGCAATAAATATTAACCAAATTTTCACCTCGTATTGATTTTACCTGCCAAATTTTCATTCACCTCGAAATACCAGATGGCGTCAGTAAACATAGGTGAGGTAAGTAAACGAAAATGTTTTTTCACGATAAAAATATCGGCTAAAGTGCAATTTGACTATTTGTCTAATATTTCAATTTGGGCAAAACTGAGAGCTTTATTGATTTGTTGATTAATTCGAGATAAGGCAAGGTCACGGCTTTTCCTCCGGATTTTCATGAATTGTTAATTTTGAATCAGATTCAATACAGAGCTCCCGCAGGGTTAATTTCAACAAGAAACTTCGGTTGTTCAAGTTTGTCCACACAATGCTTATTTAAACAAGCCCCTCAGGTGGTCGGCTTCCAAATTACTAATTTTGATGAGTTAGAAGCTAAAAGCTATACAAATTAAGTAAATTATGTGATTGAGATATACACCAGACCAGTCCTTGAGCCTAAAAGTGTTTAAATTCATAGAAGATGAATCATCTTAAAAGCTAGAGCAGATTGCATGGTGTGACGCTTGATTTCCTAAAAATTCTTTCATTTTTCAAGAAAATAAGCAACAGGTGGACCCCATATAACCACCCTTTCAATAAAACAATGTCATATTCCGCCCCCATACCTGAATCTCGTCTTAAAAAATTCAAGAAAAAAGCAGCAACCCAATAAAAGCAATTTCTCGATTTAAGTAGGAGACTTACTGTCGTAATAAAAATTCATTTAATTTTCTTTCCCTACTGCGAGGTCTTAGTCCACTCTGGCTACTCGGATTGCTTCAATTCGACTTATCCTCAGGAGGTTTGAGATTTATTTATGTTTCTTAGTAAGGGAACAATTTCAGAAACTGGTGGACTTTATTGTCTGTTTCAAAATGCTGTGCACGGTTAAGGTAAAAAGTCTTGAAATTGGTATATACCAATACAATCTCGTATAAATATTAATACTGATAATAGTAAAGATTTCCTGTTTACTCAATTGGCTCGCGACATTTTGTTTGCTGTAAATGTTGATGTAATAAATATTTATGTGAATACAAAATTTTGATTTACGGAAAATTCTGCCAAATTCTAATGAAAATGTAATAAGAAACATCAGGAAAATTGAAACATTCATTTAGGGATAATCAATTCCCTATTTATTGCTTGATAAAGAAACAAATAGATGATTTTTTTTAGAGTAAAAGTAATAGATAAAATGATTTTTTCTATAATAATACAAAGAGAACCTCATAAAACACCAGCTAGTCATCGCGTAGATTTTAATTCGAATTAATTCCAAGGCAAACAAGTAAAATGTGTAGAAATATATAAAATTTGTAATTATCTCTGAAAAATGTGAAAACAATGCTTAAAAATAATTAAAATACAAAACAATTTCAAATGTCTAATTATTGCCTATTCTAAGCTCTCCACAATTCACAGATGTAAAATATTTGAAAATCAAAATTCGCACATATTTTAAAACGATTTCACTAATTAAGAACTTCATCATAAAAGCAATTATTGTTAATTAACACAGGGTGTCGCAGCGAGTTGGTAAAGTATACAGGGTGTTTCACATAATTTTACGAGGCCTGCGCCTGTAAGATGCAATTAATAATACATATTCCGATAACTCGATTACAAATTTTGAAAAATTAGATAATTTTCTCTGGTTTGTTCACCCTTTCAAAAATTAGTTATTTAGTGATTAAGATAGATAAACTAGAATCACATTCATGCCGTCTCTTGATAGAACCAATGATAATTATTTCTGAAAAACTGCAGTTTATGACCATTAATGAAACTGTGATTAGTTTGACAACTACTGCCATGGGTTTCCAAAAGTTAAATAATTAAATGTGTATTTTTTGTATCTAGTGTTTTGTGACTTTTGTATATTTGGGTGCGTACATTAGGCGCAAGCCTCGTAAAGTTATATAAAACGCCTTGTATTATGACTTTAATTTGTATACACCTATTAACCCACTGCAGCACTTGAAATTAAACATCTTCAGGTACAAAGAGTGTCTGAGAAAAGATGTACAATACAAACTTATTGTATGTATGATTTAAATAAAACACCCTAAATTTTATTTCTTTGGATATTGCTTTTGGTGCTGACGTTTTCAAGCTTATGAATTTTTAAGCAAATTACAAATTTGCTTAGATTTGTTCTTTGACAAAAGCACAGTTTTTAAATACTTATTATACAGGGTGCGTCAGAATTCGCGTCCCAGAGAAAAATTTCAAGTATAAGATAAGATACCAGAAACACGGAAAAAATAATGTTTAAAAAATTTTGACATTTATTTTTTGACATTTGACATTTTTTTATGTCTTTTTAATGATACTGATGATCTTGTATATGTTTTTTTACAATTATTTAGTAAAGGTACAAAAAATTTGCCAATAAAAGCCACAAATAACATTTATAGAATATAGCTTCCCTGTGTCCTCTTATAATAGCCTGCAGCAAAAAAACTTGAAAAATTATTTTTCCAACAGAAATACCTAGAGTCAAAGTGCAAAATTTAAACTCTCATAACTTCGAAATTTTTATAGATAATTTTTTGGTATCTTGGTATCTTACTTTTTATGGCATTTTTCTCTGGGGCGCGAGTTCTGGCGCATCCTGTATAAAATATAACAATAATAGAAAACAAAACTTCCACTAATTACGAAAAAGAAATTACCAACTTTTCTAATATTTCTTAGTAGGAAGAGTGTGTACAATAATGAAATTACCATCAAGGTTTGCTAATTGATATATTACATTTTGTTTAAACAATAAAACACATATTTGTTTTTCTAACTAAAAACAGAAAATTACAGATCGTGGAGATAAGAATATTAAAAAAATTCTTGGCAAAAAAGGATTTTGACCTTAGACAAAACCTGATCAAATTCTTGTAATTTGTTGCTACTACCAACTTTACAAGAAAATATGATCTTTGTAGAAAAAAAAACTCAAGGAAAATTTTACTTATGTGATTAAATTGCAGGCACACAGGCAGAAGCATAAAAATAACCTCAATTTGTTGTAGCAACCGAATTTGAAATTATGAATCCGTGTAATTTTTCCGCAGAGTAAGCCTAATTGGTCATAAAAACTTTAACCGGCTTTTATCTTTGCTAATTTTGTCTTTCATAACTAGATCATAAAAGTAATATTTTTATATTAACATTTGTTCTTTTAACATTTACTTGCTTCTCCATGAATAGATTTTAAGTAAAAAATATCAAGATATTTGTAAAAATCTTAATTTTTCATGTGAGAACATGTAAAAATATCATGCTTACAGCTTTGTTATAATAAAATAGGAACATGAAAAATAAATAAATATTAAAAATACCAGTTTTTCTATACAGAAGATTTAAAATTCATTTTAAACAAAAGAAAACACCTCTTGTCTGCAACCTACAACATATGTAAACAGAATTTCTCGGAAATCTAGTAGAAACACAAAGAAAGGAATGTCACTTTAATATTATACACTGTTTAGCTTGTAAAGTACCAGTTAAGCCCCTTGTACAATGCAGGTATGTAGTTAACGTGAGAATTTTAATACTAATGCTACGTTAACATCAACATAAACTCTCTCATATTCTTAWTGACTCACATTGATAACAATCTTCAAAATGATACAACAAGAGTGAACAGCATGTAATATTAAGACAGAATACATTGTTTGATAAAGGAAAAAAATCAAGAGTCACAGAACRGAATCAAAATAGTTTTGCAATTAGTTCGACATCAAAGCGATTGGATAATCCTCCAAATAACTGCTGCTCATGGTTCGTTACCCCCAATTCTTTTGTCAAGTTGTCCTCAATAACTGTATTTTTTTTTAACAAATTATCACGATTTTCCGCACTTCCTACCGTGTGTGGTTCCCCGAATTTTCCCACATTAGTCCTTTCCAAAGGCTGATGATTGGACGGATGATTTCCCATTTTTCCCCGACTTTCGTCCCACTCACACACCCGAACTCAACACACTAAAGAGCAGATGCGGTCCAACAGATGCTTGGGGTAAGCGTTAGACCAGTTCGTTAGCGAACGTAAAAATGGCCATTACAGAACAGGAAGCGCTTGGCCGCCACCACAACCTGAAGAATGCAGTTGCATGAAGATTTTCTTCATGGAAGAAGAAAGACGACCATCTTCCCCACCGGACGACCTTGGAAACGTGGCCAAACACGAAATTTTCACACAAACACGAGGAGATCACAAGACATTGGAAGAGATTTCAATGCGAGATGAAGCACGCGGAGTTTTTGGAAAACTGCGAGAAAAATCCGAGATTTAGATGGTTTTCGCGATTTTTCACCGGATAATTTTGAGAAAACTGATCGGAAAAGAAAACGACGGTTGGAACAYACCGGACGCGAAACGACGAGTGTTGGGACTTTGCTTATACACAGCGATGACGGTTAAAATCGTGATGGTGTATCCCCACATACTTATACTACCCATCCTGCAAAAGTTTACACAGGTAAACGCACTGTATACACTATTTCGACCAGTTCGAACACAGACTTTGAACCGAAACTCCTCGAATAAAGGGTTGATGTAAGTAACAACTAATTTCATTTGAAATCAGTTTTGTAACTCAATATAGTAATTTAACAGTCATTATTAAGGCTCGGATTATATGCAAAATGCATATTTGTTATTAAGAGGTATATCAACAAAATTGTAAGTTTTCTATGCATATCTACTGTTTTTTAATTAAAATAAGCCAAATAAAAAATGCATATTTTGCATATTTTGGCAACTTGGTGCATATTTTAGGAAATATTGCATATTTGTGCATATTTCCTTCAAATTAAAAATTTCAGTTCAAGTTAAAAATTGGACAGTTTATGAAAAATTACAAAAAAAAAAAGAATACAAAATATTTTAAAGAGAACAACCGGTAACTCGTAAGCTAAACTCAAAAAATTAGTACCCTGCTGAGTGTTTCCTTTTTAAATTGTATTGAACCAAGCGGTTTGATCTTATTTTAAGAACAAAATTTTGTTTTGTTTTTGAGTTATTCGATTTTTGTTGTCTAAATTGCGATATATGTAAAAAAATAATTTAATACAAAGTAGATAGTTGTAATCCCTTAGATCATGACCCTCATAAAAAAATGTTTTTTTGGTGGGTTGCCATTTAAAAAAAAATAATATTTTTGAAAAACTCAAAAACAAAATAAAAATTTCGAAAAATTCAATTAGTTTTTTCAAAAAATAAATACATTTGACTTTTTATTGTTCAAAATTATTCAAAATGGCTGCATATTTGACATACACTGGAGCATATTTCTTAATATTTTGTGCATATTTTTGTGAAAATACGTGCATATATATGTGCATATATTTTACGATTTTTTCGTGCATATAATCCGAGCCTTAGTCATTATCTATCTAGTAGCTCTAGTCACAACAACCTCCAAAGGATCCAATTACCAAAAAAATCATAATTACTGATTTACAGTTTCAACCCAAATAACAATTCGTATAAACAAATTGACAGGACGCAATTCAACATAATTTATCTTTGCAACTGTTTAAATTGTGTACTTGCGCTAGTTTTAATTTAACAACGAACTTGATCCTTTTAATCAAAACGCTCGGTTATTTATAGAAAATTGGGTTCTATTTATGTTCAATTAAAATACTTCACTAAAATTAACTTAACGAGTTTCATTAAATTATAAGGGTTTCGTGAAGGGGTTGGGGGGCCATCAATGATACAAATAGGGGTCTCTATTACTACAAAAACAGCAAATAATAATTAAATTTCTTTGAGAGAGATACTCAGACGGTGAATCGACTACACATCACCACAGGACTTGAAAATCTCCCAGTAAAATCGTTTGAAGGTTATTATTACACTATTATTACACGAGTTATTACTCGTTGCATAAAATGGTGGGAATTCTATGAATGCATTACAGCCGATGCAAACTTATTAACAAGATAAAGGATTTTTATTTAAACACTTAGCTGTGGTTAGTTACACGCACATTTTTATGGTTGGTATTAATAAACTACTTCCCACGCGAATATCCGGTGAATTTCAGCACTTGGTGAGAAAAAATAAATTGTTTGGAAATGAAGAATCATTTGTGACGCAAGTTAAGGAATGATAATTCAATTTGTTATTTTACTATAAAAGACAATTGGATTGTGACGTCAGTTGAATTGTCGGTTATAAATGGTAAAGTAAGTTAAACTGTGTTTACGGTTATGGAATTTGAAAAATTTTAATGAAAAGTTGTTAGAGCTGATAAAATTAGAGTGCATTTTTTATGCTGGTAAAAGGTTTAAAAATTGAAACCAAAATAAGCATACCACCACCAAAAGAGCCATTATTTATTTATTTAATGGTTCATTGATAATTTTTTGTTCCTTACTTAAATACACGTTCTAACAATTATAAATTAACATGCAGAGTTTTTGTTGGTTAAGTGTAAACATATCAATCTACTTACTTCTCGTTTTAAATATTTTAAATTATTTTAAATAAATAGTTTAAGCAAAAAACGTTTGGTTCCATACTGTCTGTTCACCTGTTTATTATTGTCTATAAATCTTTGTTTATTAAAATTAATAGCAAAAATAGTGATTTTTCAGCTATTGTTAAAAAAATATTTTTTTTATTTGCAAATATGTAAATATTTGATATTAAAAATAAAAAAAAAATATTCTCACACAACTTTTAAACAAAAAAATGAGAATTTAACTTCAATTTGTAAAATTTTTAAGTATAACAACAAAAACACTTTTTTAGCTCAGAAAGTGTAAATTTTAAACTTCCATAATTTTGAAATTCTTATTATTATTTTCTGTGAGGCGCGACTTCTGAAAGACCCTGTAGGTATCAAAATGCAGCCCTGGTCTAAAATAACTGTTTATTTTTTAATTGTTTGAGAATCTGATAAATTAATATTTAAAACAAACTCTGTATACAAAAAAATGTTTTGATAATGCAGAGATAAAATTTAAGTTTCCCATTAAAAATGTTTTTGAATGTTTTATACACATCAATACATAATGTATTAAATAGTTGTTACAGCGATAAGTCTTTCATTAAGACCCACTTTTTCCAGGTTTGTAAGTAAATACTTGCACTCTAGTGCATTGATAAACATTACATTATTTATTTAGAAATAATTTCTTGTGGAGAAACACAATTTTGACTTTCAATATTTTAATATTGTTGTTGGAAAGAACGTGAAGTCCCAAAAATCACAAGTTACTTTATTGTAAATATATACAAAGAACAAAAGATTCAGTTTGACCCGATTTAGCAGGTAAAGGCTTTTATATTTCCCTTGTAGAAAAATCGCTTGAGGTAGGTAACAAGCACAACCCTACCCTGACAATAAAATTTAAAATCGTTGTCATAAAACAGGTGAAATTTAACCTCTTCCTAAATATTTTTTTCGTAAAAATGTAAAAGGAAAAGTGGTACGATAATTATGACCCATTAACCTAAAAAAACCACACAAGGAAACCAATGTTTCTGATAAAAAGCCTGCAAATACAATAGCAATTATTGTTTGTTATTATCAACTTTAACGGTCGAAAAATTCATTTAGCAGCGACTTTCATCGACTCCGAAATTGATTGATCGAGTAAACAAACATCTGGAGGCCTTTGAAAAAATAATTACCCACTTCATCATTTCTCGACTCTCGTCAAACAGTTGGAAAAATATTTTCTCAACTGCTGGCGCAATAAAACTCCACAGTATAACAACAAGCACATTGAACTTTTAAACAATAATCCTGATTATGGAATTTGTTTTTTCGAACCGGAAACTGTCCATTTCCATAAAAACGTGTTTACCCAAAAACCTTATCCATTGTTCTTCCTGTCGGTTAATTTCGTATTATGTAGATGATGGGAATTGGGTGCGAAAGTATGGGGAACACTATGTCGGAATATCCCACGGTCTTTACCCCGTCTAACGGACAACAATACCTGTCGTGAGGGGGGGCACTGTATCCGTATGTTGGCGCCGAAGTCATATAGAATCCCTTGTATTATATATCCCAGACGAGGAAACCACACAAATGCTTTATTATAATTACGTGAAAATTATCGACAAGGGACTCTTCGATCTATCACTAAAAAAAACTCACAGTTCCCACAGGAATCTCTCCCAGGAACAAATCACAAGACACCTACACCGACTTGCTCATCACAAATGCACTCTCATTTACGCTTTCTAACTTTTTACTCGCGAAAAATATTACCTCATCAGGTCTAAAATCCTATTAGCAAACGCGGCGAAAAAATCCGATTTGATCTAAGTTATGTGGGTGTCCTTTCGTGACAAGCAAACATATCTATTGATCAGAGCGAATTTTTCTCCACGATTTAACGGATTTGTGTACTTATTACACCCGAGTCGTAAAACCTCAATAACTACTTTGAAAATAAACACGGCTAGCGCATGTAAACTATAACTTTTTATTTTGTTGATTTCCAGCAAGTGGGAGAAAAATCAAGAAAACTGGAAAATACACAAAAAATGTGGGTAAAAATCAATAAGGAAAACTACGTAAAATTGCCTAATAAAAAAGTATTAAAGTATTTTGCGTATATGTACGTACAGTGGAACCCCGGTGTCCGAAACCCCAACTTCATTTTTTTGAGCTCGCTCATTAATTCTTTGTATCATTTACCAAAGTGTGTATTGTTATTTGTTGTTGTTTGAACTGAAAGAAATGCTGTTATTATTTGTTTGATTTGTTTGAGTATATTATTTATTTTCCTTTTACTAGTTGTCATTTCTTTAAGCTAAACTTTAATTTTTCGATTTGGTTTAGTTTTTAAAATAAATAATTGGATTTTTGACAAACACACAATTTTAATAACCTTACTATACTCTTTTTCATATTAATGTGCATCAAGTAGGTTGTAGAAGTCTAAATGCATCTTTAATTTAAAGGCCGGTTCACACAAAAAGTGTCATTAATGTCATTCAGAACAAATCTAATCACATTAATAATGATAAAAATCTTTATGTTTGCTACCCTATGTTAATTAATTGTTAATTTTAATTATTTTTTGCTACCTGGGGTACAAATTTATTTGAAAAAATATTTTTTAGGTAAGATTAAGGTTAGGATTGTTTGAATTTTTGCATGGTTGCCCCCTTAAAATGATCCCTTTCAACGACTATTTTGATGCACATTAATATTAAAACGAGTAGATTTTTGGCGCATTAAAAAAGAAACCTTAGGATTATAACATTTTTAGTGTATTACAACCACCAAGTTTAAAAAATTAAGAAAACTTTAAGCATTATTTTGCTGTATGCTTCAATGAGCTGAAAAAAAAAACAAACCGATTTACACATAGGTACTCTATTGAAATTGTGATCTAACCTTTATTTTTTATAATATTATTTATTACCAATAATTAGTAATATTAATAATAATACAGAGTGCGCCAGAACTCGCAAAAAATTCAAGTAAGATAAGATACCAGGAACATGGAAAAATGTTTAAAAAATTCTATCTGTCTAAAAATTTTGACATTTGTTTTTTGACATTTGACATTTTTTTATGT